ATGAACATTAGTATTTTTGGCAATGAAGTATTTTTAATTAAAGTATGTACATTGTTTTTGTAGACATAATGCTATTGCAAACTTAACAGACTGCAGTATAATGTCAACCTAACATATATGCATTGGAAAACCAAAAAATGTGTGTGATTTCCTTTATTACTACATTAGTTGTATTGTGGGAGTCTGGAACCAAACTTGCAATACCTCTGAGGTATGCCTGTTAGGGTTTTCCAAAGAAATGAAATCAATAATAAAGATATATATGCATATATACACACACATATGCATATATACACACACATATACATACATATGCTATATATACATATACATGTATATATAGTATTATAGCCTATTAAGATATATAATATATATTATGTATTCTATTATATATGAATATAATTTAATTTACACATTACATAACATGATATAATTTGTATATATACTTACATATAGATACACACATATAATTTATTATAAAGAGATGGATTACTCACATAATTCCTGAGTCTACGAAATCCCCAGATACGCCATCAGCAAATGGGAGCCCCAGGAGAATCAGCGGTGCAATTCCAGTTTGAATACAAAGACCTGAGGACAACAAGAGTGGATGATGTAAGTTCCACTTAAGGGCAGAACACTGCTTTCTCAGATTAGAGAGTCAGATAGAAAGAGTTCTCTCTTACTCAGCCTTTTTGTTATACTCAGCTGTTCAACTGATGGCATAAGGTTCACCCACATTAGGAAGGACAATCTTCTTCTACCAACTCAAATGTTAATTTCATCCAGAAACATCCTCATAACACTAGAATATTTGATGAAAAGTCTGAACATCGTGTGACCCAGTCCAGTTCACAGCAAAAATTAACCACAGGATTTTAGAAATAAAATATTTCCCTTACAATTTTGGTTGGGTAATTACAAACTTATTTTCACTACAGAAATGATAATTAGCTTTTCTTAGGTTCAATATCCTATTTCTCAGATTATCTATTTTTTTCCACAATTTAAGTTCAAAGTTCATTTAAATACTTTTTTTTATTATTTGGGAAATATTAATGCATATAACCCTTCTCTTTATATGTACAAATACTAAGTAATTTTTTTTTTTTTTTGACAGAGTTTCACTCTTGTTGCCCAGGCTGGAGTGCATGGCATGAACTTGGCTCAACGCAACCTCTGACTCCAGGGTTCAAGGGATTCTCCTGCCTCAGCCTCCCTGAGTAGCTGGGATTACAGGCCTGCGCCACCATGCCTAATTTCGTATTTTTGGTAGAGACAGGGTTTCTCCATGTTGATCAGGCTGGTCTTGAACTCCCGACCTCAGGTGATCTGTCTGCCTCGGCCTCTCAAAGTGCTGGGATTACAGGCGTGAGCCACTGTGCCCGGCCACTAAGTAATATCTTAACTTTTAACAGTATTTATTTAAAAAACCCACCCAACCCAAATCAGTTACTCCAAATAGAAAAATAGATTATAAAATAGTTCTATAAAAGTGTCAATATATTTTTCCACACCTAATTCTTTTTCTGAGATTCCTTTTTATCTATATAATTATTTTTGATATGTTATACTTTTGTGGTGAAAAAACCTATCGCTCAGGCTTTCAGAAGATATTATTCTCTTCTTAGCACTCGAATGAGTACTTGATTATGTGTAAGTAATATGGTTTGAATTTGTGTCCCCAGTCAAATCTCATGTCCAATTGTAATGTTCAGTGTTGGAGGAGGGGCCTGGTGGGAAGTGACTGGATCATGGAGGTGAATTTCTCTGTATCGGTGTTTTCTTTATACCATCAGTCTCGATTACAAATTTTGATTCTTTCCTGAATCTTTACTACTAGATTTTCTCATGGCTGTTTTGATGGATTCCAAGGTGCACCGCATGGGTCTTCCTTCCAGGATCAACACACTTCTTCATTCAATTACTAAAAATATCCTTGCTGCTAACTACCGTCAAGAACCCTGAAAAATATGAAATTGTACTCTATTTTCAAGTTAGCAAATTAACCTGCCACAATTTCATAGTTGATGATAGAAGGCATAAGATTCCTGGTTCAGACGTTCAGACACAAAGGATACATTATTACTCATTGTAACAGCAGGAATCAAAGTATCAACAGCAACTTTTAAAGTGTGACATAAAGCAGTACAGATAATATATGTACATATATTGAGTTACATCGCATAAAAGGACTCTTAACAATTGGATCTTTTATAATAACCATTAGCATGCTTGGTTTTGGCTCTAGCTGGAAGTATTCTCTTTACTATACTAGGCAGTAAGTATATTTGCTCATTACTCCAGAGGGAGATACGATCTCTATCTTCCAAAAATGTTGTTTACTATGGTAACATCCTTGGAAAGATAGTCCAAAACAAATTAAAATCAGTGTCTCACTCACAAGACTCACAGAAACATTAGAGACCTGTAGAAGTTTATATTGCACATTGAAGAAAACTGCGTCTCACTTAACCTTGCATTCCTAAGCAGGGCAGACTGTGTCCAAAGGGCAATGTATGTGGAATTCAAAGACCCATACCTGACTCTCTAATTGAAATAACTCAGCAAAACTCCCTGAAGAATTTTCTGAGGCCTCCATTTTTAGTGTATTCACTTAAATTTTTGCCTCTGCCTAATCCTAATCCCCTTACATTTTTATTTTCTCAGACAGCACTCCTGCCAATAACTTCCTGCATGTAAATCTCCATTTCAGACTGTTTACTGTTTATAACGGCTCCTCAGTTTGCCGCCCATGAGTTACTTACCCCTATTTTATTCCAGCGCACAGGTCTGGCTCCTGGAATTCTTATGGGATGTTTGGGGTATTAATTTCCTGTCCAGAAACTTCTGTGGCCGCAGTGCCTTTGCACAATTCTTGACCTACACCCAGAAAGAATGAAGTAGGCAGACAAGTGAAGGGAGAACAAAATGAAGATGAGGTTTATCAAGTGTTACAACAACTCAGAGGAGACCCATAGTGCTCCTCTCTGTAGGTCATCCATCAAGTATTCATTTCTCAGCAGAAAGGAGACCCTGGAGAGAGTAGCTTCTCTCTGCAACTGGTTGTCCCAACTTCTCAGCAGAAAGGAGGCCATGAGAGGGTGGCTCCTCTCTGTCAACAGGTGGTCTTTGCGCTCCTCTCTTTAGCTGGTTGTTCCCTCATCTCCAGCTATCAGTAGAGGGAGTAGCTCCTCTCTGCAGCTGGTGCTCCTGTCTTCATCTTCTGGCTGTCCTCTGCCCTGCTCTGCCTGAGCCCAGCATTTTATAAACCTCAAGGGGAGGAAGTGTACATCCATTGGTCCATGGACGGCCATGTGTGGGCCCAGAGGCGGCACCCTCAAATCCCCACTCCAGTCTGGGCGACAGGCAGCCGAGTCCCCAGCCTCCAGGCTCTCCCTGCCCTGAAAGTGAGGACTTCTTGGGAACCTGCACACTTCTGCCCAGGAATCTGTTTGCCTTTAGCTGCCATTCATGGCTCCGCAGCTCAGCCTCTATCCCACTTTGAGGTTGGAGCAGGTTCCTGGAGCGGAGAGAGACAACGCAGGGACAGCAGACATCCTCAAGCCTGCAGGGAGCCGGGCCTTCCACGACCCTGAGAGTGGAGGCTACAGAGACGCCCAGGTCCTGCACCTGGTAGGGCAGGAGCAGCTGCACCTGGGATGCTCCCCGCCTGTTTCATCCGGAATCAGTGGGTTCTTGGTCCTTCTGACTTCCAGAATGAACTCGCAGACCCTCACAGTGAGTGTTCCAGTTCTTAAAGATGGTGTGTCTCAAATTTGTTCCTTCTGGTGTTCGGAGTTTCTTTCTTCTGGTGGGTTTATGGTCTCGCTGGCCTCAGGAGTGAAGCTACTGACCTTCGCAGTGAGTGTTACCCTATTAAGGCGGCGCGTCTGGAGCTTTTCTTTCCAGTCCGTAGTCCTTCATTCCTCCTGGTGGGCTCGTGGTCTTGCTGGCCTCAGGAGTGAAGCTGCCGACCTCCACAGGGAGTGTTACAGCTCATAAAGTTTGCCTGGACCCAAAGACTGAACAGGAGCAAAACTCACTGCAAAGCACAAAAGTACAAAGCTTCCACAGTGTGGATGGAGAACTGGAGGGGTTCCCTTTGGCTGGCAGGGGCAGTCTGCTTTTATTCCTTTATCTGACCCTACACACATCCTGCTGATTGGTCCGTTTTACAGAGAGCTGATTGGTCCGTTTTACAGAGCAGTGACTGGTCCATTTTGACAGCATGCTGATTGGGCGTTTACAATCCCTGAGCTAGACACAGAATGCTGATTGGTGAGTTTACAATTCTTTAGCTAGACACAGTGCGGGACAGAAAAGTTCTCCAAGTCTCCACTAGGTTAGCTAGATACAGAGTAGTGATTGGTGTATTTACAAACCCTGAGCTAGACACAGGGTGCTGATTGGTGTATTTACAATCCCTTAGCTAGGCATAAAAGTTCTTCAAATCGCCACTAGACTCAGGAACCCAGCCGGCTTCACGTAGTGGATCCTGCCCCAGGGCAGAGGGCGGAGCTGCCTGCCAGTCCAGCGCCGTGCACCCGCACTCCTCACTCCGTGGGCGGTTGATGGGAATGAGCGCCCTGGAGCAGGGGGTGGCGCTTATAAGGGAGGCTCCGCTGGGCAGGAGCCCACCGCTGAGGCGGGGCTGGGACATGGCGGGCTGCAGGTCCGGAACCCTGCCCCGCCGGGAAGCGGCTGAGGCCCGGAGAGAATTCCATGGGGGCCGGCAGTGCTGCGGGACCAGGCGCAACCTCGGCAGCGGCTGGCCCGGATACTAAGCTCCTCACTGCCCGGGGTCAGTGGCACCCGCCAGGCGCTCCCAGTGCAGGGCCTCTCCCTCCACACCTCCCTGCAAGCAGAGGGAGCTGGCTCTGGCCTCAGCCAGCCCAGAGAGGGGCCCCCACAGTGCCGTGGTGGGCTGAAGGGCTCCTCAAACCCCACCAGAGTGGACGCCGAGGCCAAGGAGGCACGGAGAGCGAGGGCTGCTAGCATATTGTCACCTCTCACTGTCAGCTTGGAAGGGACGGGTCTCCAGTTTGTCCCTGGCTCCTTCCTGCTCCGTGGAGTGGGAGGCCCCCGTCTGCAGCTGCACCCTAGAGGGAATATCCTGCCTGCTCTTAGCCCCCCTGAAGAGCACAGGGAGGCTCAGATCCGCAGCAGCAGTTTGGGCGGGGCTCCTGCCTGCTCCTTAGAGCTGGAGGCCCAGGTCTACAGCCAGGAGAGGCAGCTGCAGCTGCACCTGGGAGAGCAGACCCTGCCCTCTCCTGGCGCCCCACTGAGAGCTTAGGGAGGCGCCGATACACAAGCACAGTTTGGGCAACTGCAACCCCGTCCAGGAGGGTGGGGCTCCTGCCTGCTCCATAGCGGAGGAGACCTGGGTCGATATCCATAGTTTGGATGGCTTCAGAGGCATCCAGAGAGCTCCTGCCCCAGCTCAGAAGGGATGGGACTTCCACTGGCTCCACGGAGTGTGCAGCCCCAACCGCGTCTCCCTGCAGCAGTCAGCGCAATGGCAGCAGCCAGTGGCATCACAATCACAGCTGGGAAAGTAGATGAGCACTGGGCTTGCCCAGAATGGATATTTGAACATGAATTACCTTTTACGAGATGCTGTTTCATCTCTTCTCAAGCCTGTAATTTAAGGTAAGTAGATTATTGTGGTTATTCCACCACCAACAATTCTTCCCCTTAACAAACATTTAATCTTCATAGTTAAGAATATTTTTTGTACATGAATTATGAGATTCTGTAATTTAAGTGCATTTCAATTTTTAGAGAAAGAAGATCAATAGATGTTTTATTACTCTGAGGATTTTTAAAAATTATGTTTTTCAAAATATTGGCTATTTTAACCCTGAAACTTTTTCTAGGAAAATCATAATTATAGTTATGTAATAACCCTGATGCATAGATGATTAACTTCTGTGGAATTTACTTGTATACTTGAATAATCCATTTTCTAATATTTTATTTCAAATAACTATTTAAATAATTACTAAAGGTCCAGTATGTGTAGGTATATATGTGTGGAATTTTGTGTAAAAATTTAATAATTTGATAAATGTTTAAAAACGTTTAACTCAGGGTCATCTTAGTTGTAAACAGCTTCTGACTCTTCCTCAAACTTGCAAAGGTAAATAGGAGATTTATAGTTTTAAGTTGATTTTGAGTGATGGAAAAGTTGGGCATATAAAAACTGAAGGTTTTATTTCAGTAGAGTAGCTACAGGAAAAAGAAATAATGAGATAAAGTGTAGAACCATTCCAACTTTACACAATTAAATTTATAGCATGTCATGTTTATCAGGTAAGAGAATATTGAAATCAACATATTCCAGTGAAATCACACCCTGTTGTTCATCATTAGAGAAAAACCTGGGGAGTACAAACAAGTTACTAGTAAGATTGTCTATATTTAATTACTTTACAGATAGTACTGGACACATACTTCTAAGTTAAAACATGTTTTTGCTCATATTGCAGAATATAACTGTGACCATGGTGATAGTCACTTTAGAAAGTGATTTTTATAAAGGAAGATAAAAGAGAAAGTAATCCTCCATCAAATTAAATTTAAAATAGGTAGAATCTTGTGCTGATTGTTTAAAACATTTACAAATAAAAATACTTTTCTAAGATTAGACTTAACAGAATTTGAACATTTTGAAGTCAGTTTGATCAAATATGTGATAATTTTAACACTTGGTGTTCAGAAGCATGTTATTGATTTAATATACGTAAAGTTATCTGCAAATGTAGGAGAAGCTTTACTATGAAATGATTTTCAGACAATATTTTTTCTCACATTGCTAAACTCCTAAAATTTTTGAGATTATTTTAGTCATTTTACTTAAAAGAAAATAGTGTTTCATTCCCTGGGAAATTGCAAGTGATGTACTGAGGAGATGTCACAATAAGATCAAACTTTACCATAACTTGGTAAGTAAGAAACAGAGTATCCATTCACTTAAATTGCAGGATGACATTACTTTCAGGTTATTGAAAATAATTGGGGAAAACTTTCTCAGCTAGCCAGTCATGAGTGGCAGCATTCAGCTATTACATTCAAATCAAACCTGCAGTTTATGCACCCTGATGGGCCACTGAATGGAGTTTTATTGCCATTGCTGATTTCAAGGATAATGGATACCAGATCTAACTTCCTCTAGTCAAGTTGGTGATATCCGTAAGCTTATAATGTTCATTCCTTTCTTTAATCTTTAGGAAGCATGGGCATTTGCACATTGTGCAATATGAATGAACCAGACAATAAAAATCCAGCAATAGTAACACAAAATATTTTAGAGAATTTCTTTGTGTCATTTCATAAAAAAATTTGCATGCATGTATAATAATGAAGTTAACCAAAATAATTGTATCTGTTGGCTTTACTTATTTTCATTTTTTGTTAAACACAAATCACAAATCTTTAATGTCTCAGTCTCCACTTCATTATGAACCATCAACTATAATTAGATAAACTCATTTCTCTTATTTGTTTGGTATTATTCTACCGAAAAATTTCTTTTGAAAATCCTTAGCACTTTATGTTGCTGTGTTATGTATCCAGCTATGTTTTTGAAACTTTATTTTAAGATACTTATGAGAGAAATTATATTTCCCAATTATTAGGCATGATGTAAGTGCTGAGTATCATATGTGGAATATAACAGATGATTTGTTAATATTTGTTGGGTTGTTTACTTATGTTTTAACTTAAATATGTATCCTGCATATCTTTGTTCATTGTTTGGCTATTTTACTTTATATTTATTTATTTATTTATTTTTGTAGCTCTTAATTTTCTTCTTACTCTCTCTCAGCTTAACAAAGTATAATAGGCCAGGTGCCATGGCTCACGCCTGTAATCCCAGCACTTTGGGAGGCCGAGGTGGGCGGATCACAGGTCAGGAGATCGAAACCATCCTGGCTAACCGGTGAAACCCTGTCTCTACTAAAAATACACAAAAATTAGCGGGGTGTGGTGGCGGGCACCTGTAGTCCCAGCTGCTGGGGAGGCTGAGGAAGGAGAATGGCATGAACCCAGGAGGTGTAGCTTGCAGTGAGCCAAGATCACGCCACTGCACTCCAGCCTGGGAGACAGCCTGGGAGTGAGACTCCGTTTCAAAAAAATAATAAATAAATAAATAAAGTATAATATACAAAATTATATATATTAATGATTATAACATGATATTTTGATATATGTATACATTGTGAAATTATTATTCAAATGAAACTAATTAACATGTCAGTAACCTCACATAGCTGTCATTTTCTGTGTATGTTTCTAAATTAGATAACCACTAAGATCTAAGTTTGAAATTTACCACTGTCAGATTAAAAATCTTATTTTAAAAGCTCAAATAGTAAATTTAATATTTTTATAATATATAATTATCATCATAAACTTTGAAAGTTTTGGTGTCATTTCAGAATATTAAGCACTAAAATGCTTATATGACAAAAATATGTTTTAAAATAATCAATGGATTTTTGTGTATTTGAATATATATGAAGTTAGATTAAAAATCATCCTACTGTTGATGTCTCAATTATTTGTACTAAAATTAGAATTTAAGACAAGTATGTTCCATGTGAAAATCGGAGAAAAGTTAGCCATCATGGTACCAAAGTATTCTAAATCATAAATTTACTTCAAATTAATTTATTTTTGGAAATTAGCATTTCAAAAATAATATTTTTACCTTGTACCCTGTTGTATACAAAAGGAAGTACCTAATACCCCTAAAATAAATACCTGAAGAGTTGTAAAGTGAAAATGTTACATGTTAAGTTAGGCAGTGTACTCCTGTGATAAATATTGAACTATTTAATAATATAATTATATAATGAAAGATATTACCACAGAACAGAAAAAAAAATCAGGGTTTTTAAGCAAAAATAATATTCTATTGATAATGTAATAGAAATATGAAATTTTTTTTTCAAAATGTGAAGTTTTATCTTTTGTAAAAATTATCTTCTTCACAAGGAATAGAATGCTCATCTGGAGTTGGATTAATTTTTCTTTTCCCCATATACTCAGTAGTGGGATAGTTACATTGAATGGTAGATCTACTTTTCATTTTTTAAGAAATCTCAGCTGGGTATGGTGGCTCAAGCCTGTAATCCAAACACTTTGGGAGGCCAAGGTGGATGGATTGCTTGAGCCCAGGAGTTCTAGACCAGTCTGGACAACATGGGAAACCACATCTCTAAAAACAAACAAACAAATTAGCTGGGTGTGGTGGCATGTGTCTCTAGCCCCAGCTACTTGGGAGACTGAGGCAGGAGAAATGCTTGACCCCAGGAGGTTGAAGCTACAGTAAGCTGTAATCATCACTGCACTCCAGCCTGGGCAATGGAGCAAGACTCTGTTTCGGAAAAAAATTTTTTTTAAGTCTCTATACTGTTTTCCATACAGGTTGTACAAGCTGACATTACCACCAGCAGTGTACAAGTGATCCCGTTTCACCACATCCATGTCAACAACTATTCTTTTTTGACTTTTTGATAACGGTCATTCTTGCAAAAGTAAAATGATATCATTTTGTAGTTTAAATTTGTATTTCCCCAGTGATTAGTGATGTTGAGCATTTTTTCATATTTGTTGGCCATTTGTATATCTTTTGAGAACTGTTTGTTCATATCATTGACCACCTTTAGATAAGATTATTAATTGTTTTGTAATTTGTTTGAGTTTCTTTTAGATTCTGGATATTAGTTCTTTGTTAGATGCATAGTTTGTGAATATTTTCTCCCATTTTGTGGGTTATCTGTTTACTCAGATGATTGTTACTTTTACTATACTAGTTAAATTAGGTCCTATTTATTTATTTTGCTATTTGTTGCATTTGCTTAAGGGTTCTTAGTCATGAATTCTTTGCCTAGCGCAGTATCTAGAAGAGTTTTCTTAGGTTATCTTCTAGAATTTCAATGGTTTTCTGTCTTAGATTTAAGTATTTGATCCATCTTGAGCTGATTTTTATGTATGGTTAGAGGCAAGGATCTGGTTTAATTCTTTTACATGTGAGTAGTCAATTTTCCCAGCATCCTTTATTAAATAGGGTGTCATTTCCCCAATTTATGTTTGTCTATGCTTTATCAAAGGTCAGTTGGTTTTGAGTATTTGGCTTTATTTCTGGATTCTCTATTCTGTTCCATTTGTCTATGCCCCTGCTTTTATACCAGTACCATGCTGTTTGGATAACTATATCTTTGTACTATAATTTGAAGTCCAGTAATGTGATGCCTTCAGATTTGTTTTTTGTTTGTTTGTTTGTTTGTAGAATTTCTTTGGCTATTCAGGCTCTCTTTTGTTTCTATGTGAATTTTAAAATTGTTTTTGCTATTTGTGAAAAATGATATTGGTATCTTGAAAGGAATTGCATTGAATCTGTAAATTGCTATGGGCCATACAATAATTTTCATAATATTAATTCTTCCAATTCATGAGCATAGGATGTGTTTCCAATGGTCTGTGTCATCTGTGATTTCTTTCAGCAGTGTTTTTCAGTTCTCCTTGTAGACATGTTTAACCTCCTGGGTTAAGTATACTACTAGGTTTTTTTTTTTTTTTTTTTTAAATTTTCTATTTTTTAACTTGCAGCTCTTGTAAAATGGATTGAGCCCTTAATTTGA